TAGGGGTTTGATCTTTAGTAGATATAAAATGAAGGGTGTAGTCTACGTATAGCGAACGCTTCTTTAAACAATAGGATAGACCAGTTTCGGGAGCTGTCAATAATGTTAGTACTAGAAAATATTAAACCTAATTTATTACTTACATTACAGACGACATTATCATTTTCAAGTATACCCTGTAATCCTAAAACATATTGGAATGCCTCACAGTTTTTAACATGATCAAATATAACACTATCAGATCGTGAAGAATGTTTTTTAAGTCTAGTTATTAAGCACCTATCTGTCTTACCACTGATATAATCACTGTTACAGCCTGGACATTTAAAATGATAGACAACAGAACTTCTGTACTCCTTAGGGGTTTGATCTTTAGTAGATATAAAATGAGAAACATTTTTATACTGCCATAAAGTTATGAATTTTACCTCTTTAATTAAGTGTATCTTTACCTTATCTACGTAAAATGAATTCACCTGGTTTTCCTAGATAAGGCAATCTAACCCAATTCTTAATCAAGCTATCATCAGTAGGCCTATGTATACATTTAGGTTCATTTAATTTCTTAAGTACATTATTAACAACTTTTAAAGGGTACCCATTCCAAGACATAAACTTCCTAATGTTAAAGCTCTGCAATTGTACTTCCTAGGTAAATGTTTTGATTGGTTAAACACTTTTGGTACTAGTGCATATAAGCTTGCTAATATGGATAATTTTTTCATTCATGATGATGACATAATCAGAGATCCCAAGTTTGAAAACCAAAAAATAGGGAGATTTTTTTCATGAAGCAATCGCCTCCTGTGACGCCTTACAACGCGCTGTGCAACATGAAAGTATTACACAGAATGAAGAAAACAAACAATTTTCATCAATTTGTTTACTTTTATTTAACAATTTTACATTTGTTTACACATTGCAGTTGGCCTAAAATATAAATTTATAAATATTATTATTTAGCATTTTGCTAGTAAAGCATTCTTGGCAGCAGTCAACAAGGCTTTCCTTGGTTCATTGGCATGTTAGAGTCTATGGCTGATTTATTACATCTCATCAAAGAACATAGAATTCTAGCAGGGTAACTGCAACTTGCAAGATTTACACGTTTGCTGAAAAATTAAAAAATATATATATATATATATTTTAATTTAGTTAGTAAATCATACTACATGTTTTAAGTCAGCATTTACATATGTTTAGCCTATAATAACTGGTACATAATGCCATGAAAAAACATTAAATCCTGCTCCATCTATACGTGCGTAACTAGCACTAAGGCCGCAGAGTCACGACCACCACTACACACAGACGCCCAGCCAACCCAACACCATACAGTACATACATTGCAGTGCAGATAGAGCCTAGGCCTAAGCCCTACATGTATTTCTTAATCGATATTAAAATAAACTTCATTTTTCGGAAGACTGCTTAGTACCAAAACTTATTAACTATAATTGTTTTAGTATTGTTGTTAAAGAACTGAAGCTTACTTGAAAGAAAAAGTATTTTTTATGCACCGATTCTGTTCCAAATCTTCGCGGCGAAAACTTGGGGCCCCATCCATGTGATTTCTGATTTCGTTAATTTGTTGAAATTTATTAACTCAACTGACAGCCATCTCATTGAATGAGGCCGGCGCTGGATGCAAAAGATTGTAACATGGAGAATAAACAAGGCGGTTCTACCACGCCTGCCTTGCCCTGGAGTTGTTATTTTGATAAACAACTTAAATAACAACTCCCTGGCAATGTTTATGACATTTTATGGCTGAGCGAGCGCCATAGTATATTGGCTTAAGATAAGAATTTTTGTTTCATTGCTCTATGACATCGTGGGAATCACATTTTTCGTGAAATTTTTAAAAATCGGGAGATATTAATAAAAATCGGGAGGGCGGGAGACGGCCTGAAAAATCGGGAGAACCCGCGATTTTCGGGAGAATTGGGATCTCTGCATAATTAATGTCGAAATATTGAAGTCAAACACGATGGCGTGTATTTTAATACTCGGAGTATGTATTATACTTACTTTCTTGTCTTATGAGCTTTTTTAAAATAGTAGTCTCTGTCTTTTGTTAATTTTAGGTAATCATTATTAATCCATTCAGGCATGGAACTTAACTCTCTTAATTTTCCAAGGTGCATGTTTATTACAAGCATTATTAAATAAGTTTTCCCATGTTTCCCAGGCCTTATCGATATCCGAATATACCATCACTGAATCCCAGTCCTGATTTTTAACAGTGTCAATGAAATCATTTTCATTGAAAGTGTTTTAACCTTGTCCTAATAGTTTTAGGCTCTTGTTTAATTTTAGCGCACTTAAAAGTTAAATAAATGAGTGAATGATCACTAATACCAAGACTATCAACTCCTGAATTAGAATATTTTTCAGAATTTGAGACAAAAATAAGATCTAAAATCGTTTTACTTGATTCGGTGATCCTAGTACTCTCTTTAATTAATTGTTTCATGTTACTATGGTTTTCTAAACTCTTAATTTTATTCTGATTACACTTCTTGGAGATATCAAGGTTGAAATCGTCAAGTAGAATTACTTCATCATATTCAGATGTATAAGATTGGAATAAATAATCAATGTTGTTTATGTAATCAACTTTGGCACTTGGAGGCCTATAAACAGTCCAAACAAGAAAAGGCTTTGTATGTGGTAAACGTACTTCAATCCACAGACTTTCAACATTGTCAGCATAGTTTGAAACTATTCTGGTGTACGGTAAGAATGGCATCGGGAAAAATGGCCCAGGAAAAAGTGGCCCCGGTAAAAATAGCCCCAGAAAAAATGGCCCAAAATGACAGGTAGGTAAAAATGGCCCCAATAATAAAATTCAGTACTAAAACTGATTTTTTTTTAAACATTATATGCATTTTTTTAACTGAAATAATTTAGTCTTTAAAAAGAAATCTAACATCAAATAAATTGCCATTTACATTTTACTTTTTGCAGGAATTACATATTCAATGATAAAATATTCAAAGATAAAAAAAAAGCCATGAATAACACTTTTTATTTTTTTTCCATTTAAATGTTAAAAAATAGCAAAAACATAATCAATAAATCAACATAAATCATGCATTTATTAATACTAAAATCATTTTTTTGTGGCCAATTTCCCAGAAATTCAATCCAGGTATTGGTAAACCCCACAAACAATGAGTTTATATGAACATCACATTATTATTTTATTTTCAGAAAAAGAGAGTTCTACAATCATAATAAAAATAGGTTCTTATGAATAATTAATTTTCTTGATATACCAAGTGAGTCAATCACAATTGAATTGTTTGGTTTTCTACAGTGTGTTTTGGGAGGTTTGTGGGATTTAGAAATACCATTTAATCCTACCATAATTACAATTACACGCCATTTTAATTCTTAGCATAATTGCCATCTGTATACATAGTATCTCAGTTTACATTATTTAGTGTAGTTTTAGGCACTTAAATTTAGTTGGCGGGAAGTAAAAACCAAGTATGCAATTAAATAAGTTGCTTAAATAAATGTAGGCCTATTCCTAATTATTCAGTTTACTTTAAAATCAATATTTGATTAACAAATACTTCTTTGAAGTAACTCTAAGCAGAACATTTATTGCTAAGTTTGTGAGAAATTAAGCCTCTCCCTTTTCCCATACATGAACTTGTGATTCAAACACACAATTGATCCACATGCTTTAACTACTGTTTATTTGCACTGTTTTATAACATGTAAAGTTATTTCAATTGATACTTAACTAAAGCAAATTTTGTGGTTATATGAGTTGCATATTTTGGTAGTTGAAGTACTGTATGTATGTCATTCCTTTACTTTGTTAGTGGAATAACGTTTTTAAAACTTATTTCTACTATCAAAAAATGTTATTCAATGGCCATTGTTTTCCGATAATCTCTCAGTACAATATTTGCATCTGCTGTGTAACTGTATTTGTTATTGATTCAATTCTTGCTTTTACAGCTAGTACTTAAATATTTGAAGATTTTTAAAAAAATATCATTTCTATTACTGAATTTTTATCATTGGTGCCATTTTTACCTACTTGTCATTTGGGGCCATTTTTTCCGGGGCCATTTTTTCCTGGACCAATTTTACTGGGGCCATTTTTATTTAATCAAGACTTTGAACATTATAGATGCATGATTTTAAGACTTATACCAAGATGGATGTCATTATTAGTGCTTATGGTATCATTATGAAATGGTAGTTCAGTCAAAGCATTTTTTTTAAAGCATGAGTTACACCACCATTTGTTAAAATTAAAGCATTTTTCTTTGACATTAATACAAAACAAATGAAAATCTAATTTTGAGCAAATAAATCAGAATTTTCTCCATAAATCCTTGGAGTGAATATCGGTCAGGCCTACTGCATGTGTTACTTCGTCTAAACCAATCTTGTCAATTTTGCCACTTAACCATGGGGATTTCTTTTTCTTCGTTTTTTGGGCACTTTAATAAAGATTCTAATTCATTCATTAGCATTAAATCATGAAACTATTGTTGTTTTATTACATTTCTGCTGATTTCATATTATAATGAATTGTACTTCCATTGCAAATTATTGCTATAAATTAGTTCTAATTCTACTGTAACTATTTATGTCAATAAAAATAAAATTATAAAGAATTGTATGTCATTGTTATATGAAAACATGCCAAAAACCACTATTAAGGGGACAACTTCAGTTTTTAGTTAGTGTCCCCTGAATAGGGGTACCCCTATTCAGGGGACACCCCTATTAAGGGGACACTTTTTTTGGTCCTGAATGTGTCCTCTTAATAGGGGTTCTACTGTAGTACCTTAGCTTTTGCATGCTGACGTGGAAGTATAAGTCAGTTATAGTTACCAATCCTACATGGTTGGGACATTCAAATGGAATACAAATTGGAATGCAAAACAACTTCACACAAATAATATATAAATACAAATGTATATTTATACACGCTAATAAAATATTCTAAATAATCAAAAGAAACAAACCATTTTTGGAAAAGTATATTGAATATTCATCAAGATCCAAGTAGCATCCAATTGTGTCATTTATTCCATATTTCTAAAAAGAAATAAAATGAAATTAAAATTATTATTTTTATAGGCATGAGCTATTTCACAGTAAACAGTAATGCCCCAAACAAAATTTGTTAGCATGGCATAACAAATCATTTTTTTGTTTAAAAGGAAATATTTTTACATTTATATTATCATATAAATAATAAGTAAACATATTAAAAATCATTTCATGAACATACAATTTAGAATGCTAGACCCTACATCCATAGTTATAGAAAAATAGTGTTGGAAAAAGAAATTTTTTTACGAAAAAATTTTATTTACAATAAATTAAAAAGAATTCAATATCAAAAATATCAATTGTAGATCAAATATATATCAAAAATATAAAAATTGCACATGAATACAAGAAAACTACAATTACATACATACATACACACAAAAAACCACCAGGTACATAAAAACTTGTGCAAGTCAAGAATCAATTATAATTATAAACTACAAAAATAAAAGCACAAGAGTTAAAAAAACAGCAACACCAAAAGCAATTCCAATCATAAACATCCAGGATATTATTATTTATTTTAATTTCAATAAAGATAACTTGTTGTATAAATGAATTCCATTGGATATGGGTGAAATCTGAACCGTTTAGTCCTGGTTCGGGGCGGTAAAAATCGGAGTCCAGAATGTGCTAGGACAAGTACTTTGTGTAAAGGGTGAGTACTATCATTAAAAACTGTATTGACAGTCTTCAATATTTTCTCGTTATACAACGAATCAATGTCTATTAATTGTTCACCAATCAATCTCCCAGCTCTTTTGTTTATTCTGCTAATTCTAAGTTTGTCTTTTTGCAGGATATTACCAAAGTAACAGACTTTGCAGTACAGTAATACACTGTGAAATACTGAGTTGTAGTTCTATATATGTGCAAGTATTTTGATCTTTTAGTATAAACATTCTTTGATTAGCCTTGCAAAAAAGTTTACTGACATTTGATATCCACTTAAGCTTATTATCTATTATACAACCAAGGTATTTATATTGTCACAAATGCGCTGGCCTGGGGGACTCTTAACTGCGAACTTAATCACTTTCCAGGAGATGGAAAACCACAAAACTTGTACGGTACCTTAATATATATGGAGCACAACTTCTTATCTGAACATATGTTAGTATGTTCCAGATGACTATGGACAATGTTATAAATTTATGAATAAGAGAAATATAATAATAAGAGAAAATAGTTTTTAATACAACTTGAAAAATTATTGAAAATAATGTAGTGCAAAATTCATATCAGGATGAGATCAGTAAAAATATATAGTTCTGGGTCTGCAATTGGCATACAAGTGACTGGATGTGTGAGAATGATGCTGGCAAATTTTTTTTTTCTTTTATAATAATTATAGAATTTAATAATTATGGCATTTATATTGTTGTTCTTGTCTAACTTTTTTACCTAAATGAATCATGATATTTATATATTTATAAGAACTGTCAGAAAAAAAGTGATACAATTATTATGGAAATATTTTCGAGTAATTTAAATTTTAAAAATATATTTTTATATGAATTATAGAAGTATTTTAAATTTGTTTAAGGCATTGCAGGATTATTTTAATAATAATGACAAGAACTGAAGAAATTATAATCACTATGCAATGATAATGTTATGATATAGAAAATATAATTATGAAGGATATAGGCCTAATCAAAATAATTTTGTGTTTCAATTTATGTATTCTGTTTTTAACACTGTATTTTGTTATCATTTTATGTTGGCTGTCATTCTTTTTTTCTGTTTATATTTTGATTGTAAATTTCATTATAAAATCCAATCTGATTCTATTATGATCACAATATATTTGATGACCATTTGAGAGCAGCTTAGCTCAGTCGGCTAATCTGGTGGTAACCACTGTGTGTTCGCTGAACCATGGACATCTCTAGGTTCCCGGTTCAATTCCCATCGCTGCCTCTTCTTGTGTTTCAGCTGGAGGGCTGAAATACAAGTTACAATAGTGCACCGTCTTTCAGATGAGACGTTTAAGCCGTTGGTCCTGTGTGCATTTATGGCCCATATGCACGTTAAAGAACGCAGTACACTCTTCGGAAAAGAGTAGGGGATTGTCTCCCGGTGTACTGCCCAATCACCACCAGAAGGACCCCAATGGAAATAAGTCTTCTTCTAGACTTTCATGGGCTATCCTTAGGGTTTACACTGAATAAATCCAATCCAATCCAACAATATAGATAATTTGAATTTGATATACCTGTAGTTGTCCTGATTTTACTATCTTGATCTATCTCTTCAAACATTCGATTTTAATGGTTTGCACGGTTGTGCCCATTAAAATATTGCCCTATTTTCTCCTGTGCACTTATGTTTGTAACCCATAGAGCTTTTTATTTAAAATACAGTGTACAGTAACCACATTTTAGTCCTAGTGATTTCTAAATACCAGATATTGTTGTATAGTAAGTTGTACCTTGTGCTAAAAAAATTAACTACAATGATTCATTTGGTTCTATTTGCTAAACGAGAGCATCAATGATGCAATAGCTCACTTGACAATAGCTGGCAATGTTTAAGTGCTGTTAGTGAGTGGAGATTGTGTGGAGTGTTGTTACATGTATTGAGCATAAAAAAAAAATGTTTAAAGTTATAGTAGTTGTATGCATCATCACAGACCTTATGTTAAGTTATGTTCACATAACAGTTAGAAAATGTGTGATGTCGTGTACAGTGATATTAAAGGAAATATGGTTGTTGTAAGGTTTGTTGTGTACGTAACATTTTGAAATATTTTATACTGTAATTATAAAGATATTTATGTAGAGGTTTATGATATAAGTAGACAGTTTGGAGAGTGAATGGAAGTTGTTGCATAGAAGTATTTCATTGTAAATATTTTTCCAAAGGCGCATTATAATTACGTACATCATTTGTCTTTGTTTGCTAGTAAACATGCAGCTTTGTTTGAAAAAGGCTAAATAACTTCTTGGCTGACGTCAGATTTTGTATATATATATATATATATATATATATATAGAACTGGAGGTCGCTGGAACAGAATGTTGCTACTCGGAGTTTCACGCTATTGCGATCGTCAGGCAACTGATGAAAGGTGAACGTTGTGGGGTGATGTGACT